CATTAAAGATGCTTTATTACTTGATGTTATACCACTGAGTTTAGGAATAGAAACATTAGGAGGTGTTTATTCTAAAATTATAAATAAAAATACAACCATTCCATTTAAACAAACAGAAACATTTTCAACATCAAAAGATAATCAAACAGATGTTGAGATAAATGTATTTCAGGGTGAGAGATTAATGGTTGAAGATAATATTCAGTTGGGAAAAATTAAACTATCAAATATTCCAAAGGCAAAAAGAGGAGTGCCTAAAATTGATGTAACATTTGAAGCTGATGTAAATGGAATATTAAAAGTTTCAGCAGTAGAAAGAAATTCAAATGTAAAACAAGAAGTTAAAATTGAATCAGCTGGTGGATTATCAAAAGAAGAATTAGAAAAACTAATAAAAGAATCAAAAGAAAATCAATTAAAAGATTCAATAAAAAAACAAAGAATTGAATTCACTAACAAAGTGATTGATGAAACAAATGATTTTATTAGCGGTGAGAAAAAACTACCTAAAGAAATTTTAGATAAAATTTTACAGTTAAGAAAATCAGTTAAATTAAAAGATAATGATTTAAATAAGCTTAAAAATGATTTTGATAGCTTAATAAGAATTATTAAATAAATGGAAATTTTATTTAACTCCAATCTTGTTTCTTTTCATTTAAAGGAGAACGAGGATTATATACATAGTTAATTGTATTAGCTGATTTAAGTGAAGATTCTGTTTTATCTGATTTAATTTTATCTAAATATTCTTTAGCTTCTCCATAAATTTTACTACCAATATTACTTGTTACGGTTATAGTTTTATTTCCAATTTTCTTTGTTGTGTCAATTAAAACACTTGATAATTTATCTGCCATTACGAATGTTGTTGCTCCTATTTGTGCTAACTCAGGTGAATAGTTTGTTACTTTTTCTTTTAAATAAGAAACTTTATCTTTTATGTATGTTGATGAGTTATTTTTACATTCTGTGGCCATTTGGGGAAATTCTTTTACTCTCTCACTAAATGTTGATTTAACTGTTTCTGAAAATATATTAGTTGTTTTTAAATCTTTATTATTACAGGCACTATCAATTTTAATCCCCTGCTCTTTTTTTATTCTATTCATTAAATCTTGTGAATACCTCATTACTTTATTATTTGTGTATTTATCAAAAATATTATCAATATCAATTCTGTTTTCTTTAATGTAATTATTAAACCTTTGATTCCCTCCATACATAACAACAAACCATTCATTCTCACTC